AAGAGGAAGTTGGCCAGTAGGATTTTTGTGCATCGCGTTCACGATAGTAGTCTCGCGTTCGCGAAGAAGAACGCGTCTGGGCAGAATATAAAATTTCAAAGTCGAGGGTTTAGCCATTTTTGTGAAAACTAGAGCTTGGGAGCTCGGATTTGAGCGAGATTTTGAGGGATTTTCAGAGATATCGATTGGGTAATGATTCTTAACTCCCTTTTGCTTATAACCCATTAATCTAAACATGAATTCATCATTTAATTTCGTATTTGGGATGAAAATTGGGGGAAAGTTCTTAGACCTAGATTTTGAGTTTTGACTGGGGATTTGACATTGAATTTTGATAATTTTGGTATGGTTAGACTCGTGAGAGTATGAGGATTTTGAAAATGTAAATTTACCCGATTCGGAGACGTGGGCCCAGAGGGCGTTTTGGTCATTTTACCTAATTTTGCGTATTAGCTTAGAATTTATTTGTAGAATTTTTTACTTGAAGTGTTATTTAAATTATGCAATTGAATTGAATAGATTTGGGCCATTTGGATTCGAGTACTCGTGGTAAGAACGTGATTTCAGGTTGATTTTGAGCCGGTTCGAGGTAAATGGCTTGTCTAACCTTGTGTGCGGGAAACTCCCCTAAGGATTTGGTTTGTTGATAATTGAAATGCCCTGTAGGTGAGGTGACGAGTGCGTACTTGTGATAATTTTCAAAAATCCGTTTTCCTTAAGTAACTATAAATGTGATTTCCTGTTTCCTGTTCATACCGTGTGTAATTTAAGCCTGCTATTAGCTTAAGGAAGCATGTTTAGTTGACTTAATTGCCTTACTTGCTCAAATTGCCTTATTTGGATTATGTGCAGCATGCTAGGCTAGAAATACCTGTTTTATTTTGGTATGGAAATTCGAACCGAATTGAGTATTCTTTTGTGTTACTGCTGTGTGTTTACTTTGGGACTACGGAATTGAATTCCGGGAGATTCCCTTGCACTTTTATATTAGAACTACGGGACTGCACCCGGCAGATTCCCCTAGTATTGAGTATTTATATTTGGGACTACGGATGTGGTATTCCGGTAGATGCCCGCGCATTATGAGTTGGACTACGGGACTGCACCCGGGAAATCCACTGGATATTTATATTTTGGGGACTACAGGACGGTATCCTGGGAGATCCCCCGGTTGTTATCTCTGCGTTGAGCTGTATTTATTTTCGTGATTACTTTGTTTCTGTTAAAGTTGTTGTTGTTCTTCTATCCTGTGTTACTTTTTACTGTTGCACTTAAGTATACTGTTTTATTCTACACTGTTATATCCTGTATTTCCTTTAACCTCAGTAGGGCCCTGACCTTCCTCGTCACTACCCCACCGAGGTTAGGCTTGGCACTTACTGAGAACCGCTGTGGTGTACTCATGCCCTTCCTGCGCATGTTTCTTATGTGCAGATCCAGGTACTCCTACTCAGACTTATCACGCTTCAGGCGAGGCATTTTGTAGAGACTCCGAGGTATATCTGCAGACCGAAGAGTCCCTTTCTATTCTCAGTACTAGTATAGCCCTTTATGTATTTTCCCTTGTTGGTAGACATTCTGGAGTTAGAGCTTATTATGTAATCTTTTAGCTTGTGATTCATGGGGTTCCGGATTTTGGGAGTGTTAGATTGAGATTCTTGTACTGTTATATGCCAGGCGGCATCTTAAACACTGTTTAACCTTGTTATCTCGATTTTTAATTACTTTCTTCTGCAATTGTTTCTCTTTTCGCATTTGTTAGGCTTACCTAGTCGTAGAGACTAGGTCCCGTCATGACAGTTCACGGAGGGCAAACTGGGGTCGTGACAATCAGAGCTCTAGGTTCATAGGAGTCATGAATCACAAGCCGGTTTATTAGAGTCTCGCGGATCGGTACGGAGACGTCTGTATTATCAACGAGAGGCTATGTAACTGTTAGGAAAGTTCCACTTCATTTGATTTCCTTGTCGTGCAAGATTTTTGATATCACAATTCTAAACCTCTATCTTCTATTCTCTCACAGATGGTGAGGACAGGTGCTACCCGAGATGATCAGGCACCCACGCCCTCTACTGGAGCGGTCAGAGGCTGGGGCCGGGGTAGAGGCCGAGGACGCACACGTGGTGCAGCCAGAGCACCCGTGCGAGCTGCCACCGAGGTGCCACCAGCAGCTCCAGCCGGAGTCTAGACACCTGATACGTCTGCTACTACTACTCTAGCACTCTAGGAGACTCTGGCGCAGTTTATGACTATGTACACCACTCTAGCTCAGGCAGGGTTGCTTCCCCTTGCTGCAGCTACATCCCAGGACAGGGGAGGAGCACAGACTCCCGCCGCTCGTACTCCTGAGCAGCGAGTGCATGTTGATCAGGTCCCAGAGATTATTCCTGTACAACCGGTAGCCCCAGCTCATCCCGAGGAGAGGGCAGTAGCTTCAGAGGAGGAGCAGAAGAGGCTTGAGAGGTTCAAGAAGTATCAGCCTCCTACATTCAGTGGACTAGCCTCATATGATGCTCTTGGATTTCTAGAGGAGTGCTACCGTATCCTCCGTACCATAGGTATATCAGGATCGAGCGGGGTTTCCTTCACTACCTTCCAGCTTCGAGGTGCCGCCTATTAGTGGTGGCGTGCTTATGAGTTAGACAGTCCGGATGAGGCAGCTTCCCTGACTTGCACTTAGTTTTTAGATATGTTCACGAGAGAGTATGTTCCCCAGAGCCTCAGGGACACTTGGCGTGCAGAGTTTGAGCATTTGCGCCAGGGTACCATGACTGTCTCGGAGTATGCTGTCCGTTTCACCGACTTGGCTAGACATGCACCAGCTTTGGTTTCTACTGTTCGCGAGAAGGTTCGCCGGTTTATTGAGGGGCTTATTCCCAGCATCAGGTCTAGAAAGGCTCGTGAGTTAGAGATGGATATTTCTTATCAGCAGGTAATGAGCATTGCTAGGAGGATTGAGGGTATGCATGCTAGGAATAGAGAGGAGAGGGAGGCCAAGAGATCTCGAGAGTCGGGCCATTATTCTGGTGCCCGTGCCCCAGCTACAGGCCGTCATGGTAGGGGTTATATGAGTTGCCCTGTTCATTCAGCTCTTCCAGCAGCCAGTGGTATTCCAGCTCTTCCCAGACCTCAGGAGCCTTATTATGTGCGGCCAGTATCTAGTGCGCCTCCTGCACGGGGTGCTTCCAGTGGTCAGTCCAGCAGACCTGGCCCGAGCCAGTCACAGCCGCCACGTCCTCCTAGAGCTTGCTTTGAGTGTGGTGACACACGCCATATGGTGAGGGATTGCCCCGGACGTAGGAAGGGTGCACCTCTACAGACTTCTTAGCCACAGCATGCCCCGCAAAGTTCTCAGGCTATGATCACAGCACCAGTTGCTACCCCACCTGCTCAGCCAGCTAGAGGTAAAGGTCGGGGAGGTAGAGGTCGCCCTCGAGGGGGAGGCCAGGCCAGATACTACGCCCTTCCTGCCCGTACTGAGGCTGTCGCCTCCGATTCTGTCATCACAGGTACTATCTTGGTCTGTCACAGAGATGCATCGGTTCTATTCAATCCAGGCTCCACTTATTCTTATGTGTCCTCTTATTTTGCCCTGTATTTGGGCGTATCTCGGGATTCTTTGAGTTCTCCTTTTTATATTTCTACCCATGTTGGAGATTCTCTTGTTGTGGACCGCGTTTATCGGTCGTGTTTGATTGCTCTTAGTGGTTTTGAGACCAGAGCCGATTTGTTATTGCTCAACATGGTAGACTTTGATGTTATTCTGGGCATGGACTGGTTGTCTCCCCATTATGCTATTCTTGATTGTCACGCGAAAATCGTGACGTTGGCTATGCCAGGTGTACCGCGAGTAGAGTGGAGGGGTACTTTAGATCATACTTCCAGTAGAGTTATTTCATTCCTTAAGGCTCAGCGTATGGTTGAGAAGGGGTGTGACGTGTATCTTGCTTATGTGAGAGATGTCTGTATTGATACCCCTACAGTTGATTCAACCCCAGTAGTACGGGATTTCTTTGAGGTGTTTCCAGCCGACCTTCCGGGCATGCCGCCCGATAGAGATATTGATTTTGGCATTGATCTGTTGCCGGGCACTCAGCCCATTTCTATTCTTCCGTACCGTATGGCTCCTCCTGAGTTGAAGGAGTTGAAAGAGCAGTTACAGGAATTGCTTGATAAGGGTTTCATTCGGCCGAGTGTATCACCTTGGGGTGCTCCTGTCTTATTTGTGAAAAAGAAGGATGGTTCTATGCGTATGTGTATTGATTATCGCCAGTTGAACAAAGTTACACTGAAGAACCGTTATCCTTTACCCCGTATTGATGACATGTTTGATCAGTTACAGGGTGCTTGTGTGTTTTCTAAGATTGACTTGCGTTCAGGCTATCATCAGTTGAAGATTCGGGAGCCGGATATCCCGAAGACTGCCTTCAAGACTCGATATGGTCATTACGAGTTCCTTGTTATGTCATTTGGGCTGACCAATGCCCCATCAGCCTTCATGCATTTGATGCACAGTATTCCGGCCATATCTTGATTCATTCGTCATTGTCTTTATTGACGACATTCACTACTAGAAAACTGCAAATTTTCCAGGGAAATTTCCCACAGATATATTATCAGTGGCAGTTCCCACTGGAATATAAAAAAATTCAGTGGAAAATGAAAAAGTTTTCTTTTACCTTTTCTTAAAAACGTTCTCACAGACTATAGGTGGGAACTAGTTGGGCTAAAAAGTGCGTAATTTGTTTCCCACCGAATCAGTGGGAATGTCACTAAAAATAAATTTATTAAAATCTACCCAGTGAAACGGTGGGAACCTAAAATAAAAAATAATTTTAATATTCCCACTGATGCAGTGGGAAGCTCAAAATTTCGAACTGTTGTATTTGGTCCAAAAACCCGCGAGCTTAAAATTATTTCACCGCGAGCTTAAAATTATTTCACCAAAAAAATTGAGTTTATAGAAGACAATTCCCATAAATTTTGCCACTGAATCAGTGGGAAAGTATTTTCTATTACATTAGGCGTACCCTTTTTTTTCTTTTTTTCAATCTCATTCTTCTCTTTCTCTCCATTATCTTGGCAGACCAATTTTCCCCCATTTTCAGAAATCAGAGCTTTCACTAAGCTCATGCAAAATCGGTAAGACCCCCCTCTCCCTCTCGCTCGCTCCCTCCCTCCCTCCCTCCCCCCTTTCTTTCTCCCTTTTCTGATTTTATATTAAATGCCTAAAAAACTAGGGTTCCTCCATGCCTAGTAATAAATGTTTATAATTTTGTATTGATTTCATGGTTCACCACTGCTTCTGCTTATAATGGTCTTTTTCTGTTAGTTTTGATATCAAAATATGCAAACTAAGTCCAAATCATAATCTCTCATGTTAAGTTCCTTGTCTCATGTAGAGGTATACTAATCATATTATTGTGAAATTATTGTTTCCCACTTTTAGCACTAGTTTCTAGTATGTAGACGTGGAATTTGTGTTTCTTTGATGTGCTTATGGATGGATTCTGGATCATTTTGTTTTTCTCTGTTTTAGGCTTATCAAATTTCGAGTATTTTGATTCATGTATAAGTGATTGTTTCACCTTTTAGAAGATGGTTATTCCTACTTATGGTGGCAGTAGCAGTGTCACATACTCACTTGATTTGTTGTTTTTCTTGTGTTGGCTGATTTCATGCTATGAAACCGATTTGCAAACTAGCCCAGTGGCTATTTTTGTAAATCAGGGTGCCAAGGAAAGAGAGGCATATGGTCCAGAAAAGGTTGTTTTCGTGAAGACGTGATACAATGGAATGTCTGAGCTTCTTGTTGTTTCTTTTCCTTTAATCAGTAACTGTATAAATTCATGATAGATTTTCGCGGCAATGTAATTTGTTAGCTCTTGTTTTACGTATTCCCTGAAAGTTGGCAACTCACCTAGTTCTCATTTAATTAGCTTCATTGTTAATATTCAAACAAGAGCAGGTTGCAGGATATTGAACTTAATGTTTCAATCCTGGACCCACTAGAATGATGGTTTGCTATTAGGTTCAGCTCCATTTCTTATGGTAGTAGTAGTTTAATCAGTAATTTATGTTTTGGTTGCTAGATTTTGTTTTTCCAGTTGCTCTTTTGATACGGACTAAAGTTTTTCGAAATTTCCCTTTAGTTTCTGTTTTTAGTTTTGAGTTGGTGGATGGATTATTGGTGATCTTTTTGAGTTCCCTCCACTGGAACGAGGAAATCAGATTTTTGATTGAAACTTCTCAGTTAGCATTTTAACTGCATTAGATTCCCCTAGAAAAGTGGATCTTGGTCTACTCTTTGGCTTTCTAATACTGGGCTATGTATGTTTTATGACTTTATGTAGACCAAGCTTCTGTTTATGTCACTGCTTTAATAAAAAGAGGAAGATTAAAGTGTCAGATCGCCCTTTTTTTTCTTTTTTAGATGACTTTTCTAACATAAAACTTTAAATTCCTACTCAAGGTTGAATCTGAGAAGTGATTACTTTAACAATATTAAACGATGGACGAGCCAAAATAAGCCCCTTGCTTAATAAATCTACAATCTTCTGTCATAAAAATGGTCTGAAAGAAGCATCTGATGTACAATGTGTGATGATATTGCTACTCTACATTGAATGATTTATTAAGATTGGGCGATACAATAATGTTAAAATCCAAATAGTTTTCTCTTCTATAGGAGCATTTCTATGAAAAAGTACTTTTCATTCGTAGTAACTTGATCTAGAACCATAGTCTTTTCTTGATTTATAAAAGACGAATAAAAGTTAGTTCTTTAAGGTATACTATTCATAATTAATTGTAAACTAAGTGAGTTCTTTAAGGTATACTATTCAAGATTAATTGTAAACTAACTTGAAATAAATAAATCGTTCTAAGTCTATTCATTTGTTTGTGTGTATTTGTGTACTAGATGGAACGTGAACATCGTAGATGGATGTACGATAGGAATCATCCTAATCGTTTTGGATTAAAGGAAGAATTTATTGAAGGTGTTAAAGGATTTATTGCTCATGCAAAAACGCTTCCTGAATTTTGTAACGAAGGAACAATTAGGTGTCCTTGTGTGAAATGTAAGTGTACAAAGTTGTTGCAACCGGAAAATGTTAAAGTTCATCTTTATAGCAAGGGTTTTAGGGAAAATTATTATGTGTGGACTGTTCATGGAGAGAACTATTGTAGTGTTGGTGATGTTCATTATCAAAATCTAGTTAGTGGTGAGAGAAGTACACAAATGGAGAAGATTGGTATATATTGTGAGACTCTGAAGCTTTTTTAGTCAAAGTTTTGTTCCATAACTTGTGGATTAAATGATTTCATTTAGTTGATTGTGCATTTTCTTATGCCTTTTGGACCTGAACAATTCCAGTAATATGTTATGATCTTTCTTTATGGTCATTTTTGCAATCTTTGGAGTTTCTAGTTCATGTTTGAAGTATGGCTACATCAGTTATTGTTATTATTAATCTTTTTGGCTCCATCTACAATATGAACCCCATTTTCTGATGAGAATAATTCACCTGGTATTTTTCCAGTGATCACTTCTAAGAGTAGAATACCAAAGCAGTAAATATCAGCTTTTCTTGTTAGCTTTTTCTCTTGACAGAACTCTGGAGATTTTCCAACTGCTAATTTTTTTGAGGATTCTTTAGATTGTAGCAAAGGAAGAGAATCCATAATCTGTTAGCTTGGAATGGTAATTCTTGTTGTGGGGGTCTTGTTGGATTAGAACATTTTTTGGCTCATGATAACAACCAAAGCCAGCAAACTAGTCTCCATTATAATTACTGTCTCTCTTAAACCCCTTTGAACTTTTTTCAAGACTGAAAAATTCTTTATTGTTAAATAACTACCTCATATTACTACTACTCGATTACCCTTTTTTATGTTGTTTTTAGAGTATACCCAGATCTGAATTTGTAAGTTTCTTGAATCTTGGACACCATTTTCAGCTACACTATGGTCTCTAGCTAACTCAAATTCCCTTTGATTCTGGTAAATTTTTCTCTTTTTATTGTCTTTTTGTTGTCCCTTTCAGTTTTTGTAGTACTTGAGTAGAAGTAAGTTTTCATTTTGTGGGCAAAATTGTTAGTGTGATTTCATGCTTATGATCAGAATTAAGTTGATAATTACAGACATTTAGCTTAAAGTTGGTGCATTTATGTTAAATTGTTTGCTGCCATTTTTTTTATAGGTTTGATAGTCCCTAGCTAAATCCCTTTTGACTCTGTACTTGTTCTCTTGGTTACTTGTTGGACCATTTCAATTTTTGAAGTTTTAGGTTCTGTTTTATACTCAAGTTGATGTATTTTCTTGAAGATTCTTGCAGTTAGTTTTCTCTTTGTAGAAGTAAGTTGAGCATTATAGATGCTTTAGCTGTATATGTTGCATTGGAGGAGAAATGCTGATGTTGGGAATTTTTATTTTTTTT